GCTGACTTTGCTTTGTGAGCTTTCACTATAAGAAGTCATAGCATGAGGATGACTATATGCTGAGATCTAGGAGTCCTCCTTGTGAATCACTGAACCCAGAAACGGTCTTGGGGACCTCAGGCGATAAGCCGAGATATCACATGCAACGATAATCCTTTACCAATGTCTTAAGATTATATAGCTTAAACTAGTGCTGTCCAGTAGAAATAGAACATCAGTCACATACGTAATTTTAAATTTTCTTGCAGTCACATTTTGAAATGTAAAAAGAAACAAGTGAAATTAATTTCAAGAATAATTGACTGACTCTTGATTTCAGCTTGGGTCATGATCCCAGGGTCGTGGATCAGTCCCCACGTTGGACTCTGCATTCAGCGCAGAGTCTGCTTGTTCCTCTCCTTCTGCTCCTCCCACCACTCGTAGGCTCTCTCTCTCTCTCTCTAGCTCCAAAGTAAATAAATAAAGTCTTTAAAAAAAATAATATATTTTTAAACTCAATATATAAACTATGAACATTTCAACATGTAATGATATCAATATTTATTGGGATATTTTACGTTCTCTTTTTCATACTAAGTCTTCAAAAACCAGTGTGGATTTTACACAAGTGGCACATCTCAATTTGGACTAGGAACGTTCCAAATGCTCACTAGCCACACAGCTGGCTCATAGCTGCCACTTGGACAACACGGGCTTAGAGATTAATGGCAAGGGCTCTGGAGACAGAGCATCCAGATGAGAATTCTGGTTCTACCATCTACCAACTGCATGACCTTAACCTCTCTATGTGTTAGTTTCTTTACCTACAAAATGGGAAGAGTAATGTTAGCTACTTCATAAGTTTGCAGGGGTTTTCCAAAAATGAATAAATCTAAAGCAATATCTGGTCCATATAGGATTTTGGGTGAATGCTGGCTGTTACTCTTACTGTCCAACAGTTTTGCCCTTGAGATCAACTTGTCCAACTCCTCATTCCACAGATAGGAAACTAAGGCCCAGAGTTTGAAAGGTCCTGGTTTCGAAAGTAGAGGCTCTAGCTACGTCTCCTTTTGATGGACTCCCTGTCTCCTGGCTGACTCTCAGATTGGATTGGCCGATTGGTCAGAAAACCAGCAGCAACAGGCTGCCCCTGGGTTCTGCAATCCCTTCTTGATTGCAAAATAGGGCTACTGTTTGAGATTGGCACTGCGCTGATGGGGGCTGGGCCTCCCTTCTCCTGCCCCCATCTGAACCCATCAGTTGGGCTGGCTGACCCCATCGTCAAGTCCAGCGCTTACTCAGCAGTGATAGGGCTGGCTTCCATTGTTCTGGCTTTTTACAGCCCTCCTTGTTTATTACCTCATGTTCTATCTTCCTCAAAGACACAGAGCATCAGCACTTTTTAGAAAACCTTCTTTAAGTCATCAGTAGTCCCTACCTACCCACCAAACAGGTAAGTAGTAAGCTCCCTAAAAAATGGTGAAGAGGCATTGAGTGCCCACTTACCTGGGACTCTGTAGAGCACAGCCTCAGGCTGGAAGCACACTGGCTTCTGATTCCCCTACACCGTCTGTCTCTACCCTTCCTTTCTTGAAACCCAATGCAAATCATTTACTCTCCTGTGATAAGCTCACTTAGCATCGTGCACATGTCTCAGATCTTACTAGCTGCTAGAATCAGACCAGTTTTGTGGGCTTAAACTGTTAGTATATGCTGACCTGAAGCTCCCCTTATTCTAGATGTTAAATAGTGTTTTATTTGACATTTATTTATTTAATATCTACTGAGCATCTTCTATGTATCAAGTCCTGGGCAAAGTTTTGGGAATGAAGCCTTTGTGGACCCTGTGACTTGATGTAGAAAGTAAACAAGAAATGATGATGAAGGAAAACAAAGGGTTGATATAGAAACCATCAGACATTCTAGAAACAATACTAAAGCAAGGGGACCTGAACAGAAGTGGAGACCTGAAACAGGGTAGAAGTGAATGAGTTAAGGAGAGAATGTGGAGTGCTCCCAGCAGAGGGAACACAGCTGAGACAAAAACCTGGAGGTAAGAGAGAATGGCATGTTGGAAGAAAGGAAAAAAGACCCAGTACAGCTGGGGTAGAGAGAATGAGAAGAGTGTGGCTGGACTTTGAGGACATTGTCTAAAGCACTAAGGAATTTGGACTTCAACCTGAGGCCGAGAGGAAAAAGCCTGGTGGAGAATAACATCTTTCAAAACACAGGGTTCTGGGAACAAATCAACTAAATGAGCTCAAGAGGTGGGTGGTGAAAAGACTGGGGCATGCTGTTTCCATGTTTGCCTTCATGTTCCCGGTGTGAAGGCTCAGCCCTCTTGAAAGTAGTGCATAGGTGGTACGCGGTGTCCACCACGCTCCACCGACCACAGCCACTGTCCGTGATGCCAGCACTCCCGAGTTTCTGGAAGCACATGCTTTCCTTAGACCCTTGGAACTGGAGAGCCACAGAGACCATCACCGAGAGACTGCCAAAGACTCTTGTTCAACCATTGGACCAGTTGAGACCCAGAGAAGGAAAGTGACATGTGTGTGGCCCCACAGCAAGCCTTAGGCTTCTGACTCCTCCTTATTTCCCCCAAAGAAACTGAACACCAGGGCTGGGACCAAGAAGAGGCAAGTCAGGCACAGAAGGCGCCAAACTGAAGGAGGCCCTCACGCTTGGGGCTTGGCTGTGCACTTGTTAGACCCTAGGGGCTTACTGGCCTCATTCTACTCCTGGCTCTGTAGGACACACATTGAGGACAGAGAATGAAACTTTCAGAAAACTCTCTGATGTCTCTCATAGTGTTTACATGGTGCCAGACACATATTTTGAGGGTCACTAGATGCCTACTGATAATGAACAATGGATTTCTGACAGACTGATAGGTGTACAGACATTTGTATCTGTGGGTAAACACAACCTTCAAAAGACAAGGAGCAAAGCGAGGACTGCCCGAGATTAAAGTCTAGAGATCTTGATTCTGGTCCCCACTATGCCACCGATTTACTGTGGGAACGTGGCAGACCGTTCTCCATCTCTAAGCCTCAGTGAAATGGGTGGTTAAATAACATTTATTGAAGGGGCACCTGGGTGGCTCAGTGGGTTAAAGCCTTTGCCTTCGGCTCAGGTCATGATCTCAGGGTCCTGGGATAGAGCCCCACATCGGGCTCTCTGCTCAGCAGGAAGCCTGCTTCCCCCTCTCTCTCTGCCTACCTCTCTGCCTACTTGTGATCTCTGTCTGTCAAATAAATAAATAAAATCTTCAAATAACACTTATTGAAAACATACTTTGTGTCAGCCGCTGTTCAAATACTTCTGCACTTTAACTCATTTAAAGACTTTCTGGACTTCAATGTTCCCTTCAACAGGCTGTGGTTTTTTGTTTTGTTTTTTTTAAGATTTTATTTATTTATTTGACAGAGAGAAAGAGATCATGAGTAGGCAGAGAGGCAGAGAGAGGGGGGAATCAGGCTCACTGCTGAGCAGAGAGCCCAATGCGGGGCTCGATCCCAGGACCCTGAGATCATGACCTGAGCCGAAGGCAGAAGTTTAACCCACTGCGCCACCCAGGCGCCCCCAGGCTGTGGTTTGAAGTAAGAAAGGCTTTATGGAGAATATGGGACTTGAAACAGAACTTCCAAACTCCCACAAGGACAAAATCCCCAATCAGAGGAAAGGCATGCTATCTCAAGGCACTTCTGTGCCAGAAGACAGGATCGCCTGCCTCAGAATCACCTTTGGGACATACTTGAAAGCAGATTCTCAGCCTCTGCCCCCCGAGATTCTAATGCAGTGATTCTGGACTGGGGTCTGGGAATCGACTAGAAGCTTCCCAGGTGACTCTGGTAGTTGGGCAGTTTTGGGAAGTACTGATCCCAATACATTCCCCTCTCTATGAACACGATTGTACCAAGACAGCCCAGACCTAGAGCTGCCTACCTAATCAACGGTATCTCCAAGCAGAGAAATGAATTTTTTGGTTGATTAATGCAACAAGTATTTAACACCTGTGCTCTAGGCTCTGGGCCAGGTGATGATTATGGTCCCTACTCTCAAGGAACTTCTGTTCTAGGTCTTTCTCTTATTTTAGAAGCAAGTCATCTAGCCCGAACCAGAAGGGCTTCAGGAGGTCATCAGCTAATCCATCATTACACAGTTGGGGGAAACCAAGACCCAGAGGGGGAAAGCAACACATTCAAGACAACACAGTGAGCAATGTATTTTCTGCTCACAAATGGGCTGAGATATCCCAGTGTTCTCTCCAGGAGGGGGCTGCTTTCAAAATCTGTGGGCATCCACTTTTTGCTTCCCCCCCACCTTTTTTTTTTTTTTTTTAAGGATTTTATTTATTTATTTTAGAGAGCATGCATGCACAGGGAGAGGGGAAGAGGGGGTGAGAATCCAAAGCATTTGTCTCCCTGAGCTCGGAGATCATGACCTGAGCGGAAAACAAGAGTCCCACCTTCAAATGACTGAGCCACCCAGGTGCCCCCACTCTTTGCTTCTTAAGCGGTAAACCTGCGTGGAGCAAATGTTCCTAGCAGTCTCACCGCAGATCTTGCTGTCATTTTCAATCCTTAACATCCCTTCAACTGGAATGAAGGAAGGAGGAAAGAGGAAGGAGGGAGTACCACAGGGTGTTTTAAAACCTAGGAGTAAGAAATGTCTCCTAGGATTGAGCCTTCCATCGGTTCTTCAGTTAGAGTTTAAAGCCCTCTCCCCTGGCTGTGCTGGAGGACATTGTGCGTGCCTCCACCTGCACTTTAGTGCCTAAAGAAGAGGGGGCAGCCTCATAGGTCCACAAGGACCCGCTCCCATTTCTGCCCAGACTTGCTTATGTCACTGTCGCCCGGAGCCTAGGGGGGAGAAGGTGGGTAAACTGTGCCCGCCCCTGAAATGCCAGCCGCCCTGCGATTGGCTACAGGGACTCCGGGCCGGCCGCGGATTGGTCATTGCTGAGGGCTTGAAAGGTGGCTGAGGGCATCGGACCCCTCAGACGGCGGTGGCCCGGGATCAGACAGCGTCTCAGGCAAGCACCAGACGCGCCCCGTGCCTGCCATGGCCCGGCTGTTGCGGGCGTCCTGCCTTCTCTCCCTGCTCCTGGCTGGCTTCGTCCCGCCGAGCCGGGGGCAGGAGAAGTCGAAGGTGAGTGAGCCTTAGGGGTGGGGGCCCGGCGGGACGAACAGAGCCCCCAGGCGTCCGTCTGTCGGTGGCGAGGCACCCGTCTTCCCGGGCTCCCCTCCAGGAGGGGCAACATCTGGTGCGAGGACCTTAACCCCAGTTCCTCCCTCTCCGCCTCCGGGACCCCCGCCCGGCGCGCCCCTATCTTTGCAGTTTTATCTATGGGAGATCTGAGTGCCCTGGGTGGGCAGAATGAATAGGGAGGAGAGTCACCCTCGCCGAGTTGACCCCGTCTGCCCCACAGCTGCCTCAGTGTCGCCTTGTTACGGGCATGCCAAGCCGGTCCCCAGCTACTCCCCTCCAGGCGGGCCTGAAGTGGGCGGGGGCACAGAAAAAGGCCTAGAGACCGCATCTCTGCTGGCTGCGGAGGTTCCCAGGGGAGACTGACAGGCAAGGAGAAAGGGAAGGAGCTAGGTGGTCCCGGTCTTGGAGAATTACGGCGAGGGCTCTTCTAGCCCAAGCATTAACGCAGGTAGAAATGCCCGCTTGGATTCCAGGGCGTTGGTAGAAGAGGCAGACATCCGTGACCGAAAGCACTCTGGATTGGCAGTGCACAGTCCCCAGGACACTGGCTAGACCCTCAATCCTTTCTGGGCCTCAGGCTGTTCATCTGTGGGGGGCTGGGGTGGGGGCGGGGCGGGGTGGGGAGGGGAGGGGAGGGAAGTGAAGGTGGGGGGCACAAGGAAGCTGATGGTTTCCCGGGGAATGCTTGGGGAAGCTGCAAAATCCACCTGCTGCTCTGTGAAGGTGTGTTCTGGGGCAGCTTCTCCACCTGCCACCCACTGTCCATAGCAGCCCGAGCAGATCTGGTAGCTGGAGAAAGTTGGGGACTGCCAGCTCACAGGAGAGGCAGGGTTCTCCTGAGCCTCTGTCTATCCCCAGCAGAGTGTGTGACCCTTAGTTAGAGTGGGGATGCTGAAGCCAGGAGTGGGGTGACCCAGCCTGCTCATGTCCTAGGATAGTACATGCCAGAATGGGCCCAGTAGACCTCTCTTCTTCCTCAGGATGGGAGGCAGAAGCCTTTGGGTATAGACCCAAAGAGAGAGATTTTGTCTCCACTCTCCCAACACACATAACACACAGAGAGAGACACACACACACACACACACACACACACACACACACATACACACGCACATATACACACCCTACGTGCTTGTATAAGCTCAAGAGAAGCTTTGAGCTTCTGTCTTTCTAAAATCTTCTAGGGACCCCTGGGTGGCTCAGTTGGTTAAAATCTTCTGGGTCTTTAAGATCTTAGGAGTCCATAATCCTATTTCCAAAGTTCTATCCAATATCCAATTAGCCCATTCCAAGCACAGGATTCCTTCTGTATGTGTCTGTCCCCCCATCCTGTCCTGTCCTCCGCTAAATTCTATTCAGTCTGTTTCTCTTTGGGGTAATCTCTTTGGAGTAGATGGTTATAAAGGCATTTCTATGCCTCCTCCTTTGTATCCAGCCCTGTTCATTATCCTCAACTCAAAAGACATTTTCCAGGTTAGGGATGGGACTGAATGTCAAGATTGTGGTGTGGGGTAGAGCTGGGGGTGGGCAGGCCAGCAGCATGGAGTCAGCCCTTTACTCTCAATCTGGGGAAAGCCAGAGAAGATTGGGCTCTCACTCGAGAAGGCTGGAGGTAAGAAGGTGGATCCCATGAATAACTCATCATAGCTCTGTGTTATTTGCAGAACTCTGGGGAAGGAATAGGTGGATTCAAAGAGAACAGGATGGCTATGTCTAGAAAAGTCTTAGGGTGAGGTATGATCCTATCAGAGGCAGCCTATTAGGACTTGCTGACTAACGACAGTCTGGGCATTTCCATCTCTCCTCCCAGGGCCTTAGAGTTGAGATGTCCTAGCTCCGGATTCTAAGACTCAACCACCTACCTTACCTCCAACTCCAGGGCCAAGGGATAGGATGGTGGGGCACGTGAGGAATGGGATGGGCAGTAAGTGACCTTCTCGGAGGGATGTCTGCCTCCTCCCAGTTCAAAGGGAGGAGCTGGATAATGAAGGAAATCCTCCTTTCCTTGCTGTGTCCCATCTCCAGTCCAGCTTTAAGCTACCCAGGCTCCCTGTCCTTGCTGTGCAGAAGGACTCTGCAGAAGCTGGAGAGGGTAATGACCGCTGACGTGCGCGAGAGCCTAGTAACCGCTGGTTTCTAGGTGACTCAACCAGTCAGAGAGAATCATGGAACCATAGGCTGACAGAGATGAAGAGCCCTTAAGACAACACTGACTCTGAGCCTATCTGACAGGCGAGCCGCCAGAGCCCCGCAGAAAGGAAAGGAGGGGTCACGGTCAGAGTCACCACGGATGGTGTCTGAACCCACAGCCCTGGGCTCAGTGGCCCGGGCAGACAGCTTGGAGTCTCTGTCCTCATCGCTTCTCCCCAGAGACACCTTGCAGCAGCCTCCTCTTTCCTCTGTCTGGAGATCCTCAAAGCCCTCTTCACAATAACGGAGGACCCTCAGGGCCTTTCCCCTAGCTGCCGGCAGAATAATCACTATCTCCTGATATGGGGATTTCTCTCCTTGAGGCTTTCAAGACTGTTCTGATCTGCGCAGAAATTCCCACAGCTGTTTGGGGACAGGTGGCGTTATCCTTGCCTGTCAGCCACCTGAGGCTCCCAGAGTGAAAGTGACTCACACCCCCAGGGCCACAGAGCCAGCGAAGACTAAAAAGCCTAGCCTAGTGAGAGGAGAGTCCCCTCACCCCACCCCCATCCTGAAACTGTGCTCAGAGGCAGATTGTCCTGTTTACAAGCTTCTGTTATTTGGACAACCTGTTGAAGGCTTTTGTTCTCGTCAATTCCCAGAATTTGCCTTTGGATCAGGGTGGAGGGGAAGAGCTGGAGGGGCAAGTGGGGAGTCTTTGCCTTCTGGCTGCTAGACCTCCTCGGCCAGCTGGGCCGGATGTGCTGTGCCCTGGTTGTTTGTGTTCAGCGGTGGAACTGACCCAGCTGGGGCCAGGGAGACAGGGGCTAGAGGAATGTGGAGCTTAGGTTTCGGACCTGCACCCGCCGGAAGTCACGGGGCATTGGCTGCCAATCTCATGGAAAACGGAATTGGCACTGAAGCCGAGAAGAGAGCTTGCAGCTCTCTGGGAATGGCTTGCAGGAGGGAGGCCTGTCTCACCTGGCTCAGCAGGCCTGAGACATTTTCTAGGCTGTGATGAGTTTTCTACACCCTCCTGGGGCCACACCCTGCCAACCAGATGAGTCCCTTCACCTGGCTGGGCCCAGATGCCTCACCTCAACAGCAAGCCTTCCAAGACCGATGGGGAGGAGAGGGTTTGGATTTGCTTCTCTGACTTCTACCACCCATCTCTCCTTATCTATAATGCTAGTTCATACTTCATTTGTTTATTGTCTGGGTACCTGTCTCCTCCCCCATCATGGCCAGAGATGACCCAATATAATGCTGGCCAACACTTTCCTTTCCCCTCATGACCAGCACTGCTGCTGATTGTGTGACTGACGCCAAGACACCCTTTCAAGAGTAGACCCAGGTTTTCGTCGCCTGTGCCAGAGCTGGGGTAGGTGGAGAGTGGCGTCCAGGCAATGCCCTGCTGGTTGGCACTGGTCCCACTCCTCCCCCTGCCCACTGCTGGTGATGCTGGCAAGCCATCATGGTTGAGCACGGCTGATCCAGTTCAAGGTTCTCATCTTATAAAAGAGGAAACTGAGGCCCAGAGAAGAGAAAGGGCTAGCCCCAGATCACACAGGGAGTTAGTGGCAGAGCTGGACATGGAATCCGCATCCCCACCTGAGTCCATTGTCCACTACTTGTTCTAGAAGGTCACTTGTTCGGGGAGGCAGGGTCGCAGCAGCTGGGCACAGAGGAAGGCATACCGGTCATCCCAGCTACAGGCTTACAGGGAACATCTCCCATGGGTGAGGCCCTGTTGGTTTCCCCTTGCCGGCACATGGAATCCTCCAGGCAGGCCTCTCCCCTTCCTGGCTCCTCCTACTTCCTTATATTGTAGCAACAGCCTTAGTTTTCCAGTCCTCCAGTCCTCCATATCTGAATCACCCCTCTGCACACAGGCACTTCCTCCTTTCTGTTCACTTCGTCCTTGGCAATGCTATCAGCCGGCCCACACTGTCCCCTGCCTGGCTGTCTGCAGCGGCAGCCCCAGGAACCTCCAGGAGCAACCCGGAGTAAGGCAACCTCCTGCCTCAGCACGGTCTCTCTCCGGGCCTGGCCAGTGTTTAGGCATTGGGCACAAGAGGCGACAGAATGGCCATGGAAGTAGGACAGCAGGGTTCCACACACCCAGCTGCTGATTAAGTGCTTTCATAAGCATTCCCTTGCCCGAGGAAGTAGACCTTGGTTCTGGTCCAGTTCTAGTTCTTAGCTTGGTCTTGGGTAAGTCACTCTCCCTGTTGGTATCTTTCATGATCTTGAAAACGGAGATGCCCGGGTTCCCTTCCAGCCCTAACCACTCCCCGGCACTGGTCTTCCTCTGTTCCAGACGGACTGCCATGCTGATGTGAGCGGCACCATCTATGAGTACGGAGCCCTCACCATCGACGGACAGGAGTACATCCCCTTCAAGCAGTACGCTGGCAAATACATCCTCTTTGTCAACGTGGCCAGCTACTGAGGCTTGACGGGCCAGTACGTTGGTAAGAGCCCACCCCTGCCCCCTGCTGTGGGGCTGTTTCTGCCAGTTAGGCCCGTTCTAATCACAGGAGTTTTTTCGGTCCAAGTGGGAAGGGGTGACCAAGATCACAAGATTCCAAGTCCTGTATCCCAACTCTACTGTCTTCCATATTTCAGTGAAGATGATTATATAAGCCTGAGGTCTGACTGCCTTAAGACATGTTCTAGAAGATTCCCAGTAACCCTTCATCTCTGGGGACCCCAACTGCCCCAAAAGCGGAGGGATGGAGGACATTAGGTCTGTGCCTGGGATGTTCTTCCAGGGGAGTAAGAAATGGTAGCTTTATCCTGGTGAGAATTTCCCATCTGCTCTCAGCTCCATCGGCCCTAGTGCTTCTCTTGGCTCCTACCCAGAAACTGGGAGTTAGATTGAGGCCCTGAGGACATGTGTCAGTGGCAATCCCAGGTGTTTGCCCCAGGTTTTGTGATCCTGGTAACCTCACTCCCCTCTGCTTAGCCAGGGCAGAGGAAAACAGCCTGAGGGAACAGGCCGACCAGAGGCATCTGACCCCACCCACAGGAAACTGCCATGGGGCTGAGCACAGTCCGCTGGCAGCTTTTCGGGGGAAGCAAGGGCGACCTGACCCTGCATGTCTGCCTGGCCATCTCAGACAAATTCCCAGAAGCAGAGTGACAGTGGGTTGGATGGCTCAGTGGGCTCTTGTCTAGAATCCTTCTTTCTAGACTTTGGAATAGAGCAGAGTCTGTTTGTGCGAGACATGGGCTGGGTGCTGGCACTGAGGGAACTGGGAAGCTGGGCCAGGGCCTCCATTTGATTCCCAAACTGCCAGGAAGTCTTCTGCCTTCTGCCCAGGGATGTATGGCTCTTGCTCCAAGGGACTCGATCCTGAGAGTCCTGGAGGAGCCATTAGCCTACAGGCCCAGTGGCAGTGAGCAGCTGACTGGTTTCTGGTTTGAGAAAGCGTATTGCTTTCTCTCCAGACCTCCAATGCAACCATACTGGAGTCAGGAGAATGGGGCTTGTAGCCCAGCATTGTCACGCTTGCTGAGTAATCTTCCCCCGTCAGGCCTCGGTGATTTCAGCTCACAGTGGGTGAGCAGGTGGAGGGGTGCAGACAAGACAGGGGTCATTGATAGTCTCCCTTCATCTCTGTTCTCTTTCACCCTGGCACAGAACTGAATGCACTACAGGAAGAGCTTGAACCATTTGGTCTAGTCATTCTGGGCTTCCCCTGCAACCAATTTGGAAAACAGGAGCCGGGAGAGAACTCGGAAATCTTACCGAGCCTCAAGTGAGTGTTTGCTTGCTTGGTGTCCTGAGAAAGCACAGTCCCCTGTGCCCCAGCCGAGGTGCCAGGGATCTCTAGCATTGGCCCCTGCTCATGATGGGTACTTAGCCACCAAGAACCATGCTCCCCTTCCAGGAACCCCGTTCGCTGGCATGAACGGAAGAGAGGTTGGAGACAGGGATGACTGCCTGCGTGTTCATGATGGGATGGTGGTGGGGCCGGGGGGTGTGGTGGGGAGAGTGTAGGCAGGGGACAGGGTTACTGAGAAGGTACCAAACCGGAAAAAGAAGCTTGCACACCCACACTATGCCTGTGCCCGTTCAATTTTCATCAACTCCCACTGCCTGGTGTGGGAAAAGTTCCAGATTCCCAACACCCCCTCCCTGCTCAATCCCTTCTAGTCATTTCTGAGCCCTAGGCCCATCTCTTTGGGACCCACATAAGAACATTCCTCGTAGGCATGTCCGACCAGGTGGGGGCTTTGTCCCCAATTTCCAACTCTTTGAGAAAGGGGATGTGAACGGGGAGAAAGAGCAGAAGTTCTACACGTTCCTGAAGGTGAGTGCGTGGCCATAACTGCGGGAGTCGCTGACCTGGCTCTGGACAGAGCTACAGCCACTCCCAGCTCCCGCCCTTGGGGAGACACAGCCCATGCCACCCTCCCCCACCTCTGGGCCACTGGGGGGGATTTCCTGGCATCTCTCATTCTAACCATCAAGCTTGGCAGACCCTACGATCGCAACAGCCCATTGTATAGATAAGGCCCAAGCAGGGCCCCAGAAGGGACAAGCTGCTAGAGTCCTACAGTCCGCTAGAGCCAAAGTTGGTCCTGGGATTCCATTTTCAACTCCGAAACTGGTGCTCTTCGCTCAGTGCCAGGCTTCTCCTACCTTCCCCTCTAACCCCTCGCAGAAGGCCTGGAGAGGGAGGGTTGGAAGGGCCCCAAGCAGGGTTGACACTCTTCTCATTCCCGCTGCAGAACTCCTGCCCTCCCACCTCAGAGCTCCTGGGCTCACCTGGCCGCCTCTTCTGGGAACCCATGAAGGTCCACGACATCCGCTGGAACTTTGAGAAGTTCCTGGTGGGGCCAGATGGCATACCCATCATGCGCTGGTACCACCGGACCACGGTGAGCACTGTCAAGATGGACATCCTGGCCTACATGAGGCGGCAGGCAGCTCTGGCGGTCCAGGGGAAGTAAATCAGGCCTGCCCCACCCCCTGTTCACCGTGCGGGGGCTGGGGAGGGACTCCGTTCAGGAAGGAATCCATTTCTCTAACTACGCCACACTCCCACCATAGACCCCTCACTATTACACAAGGCCCCAACCTGACCCAAACACATGCAAACAGTTGTGTCTGTACTGCTGTGCACGTGGGCATCTGCACACGTGCCTACAGGTGTGTGTGATGGTGTGTGTGCAGGAGGGAACACCACCTGTGTCTACCTGCGTGAATACGGGGAACGTGTACCATATGTGTACGCACAGCTCTGTGCTACGGAGAGTGCGGGAGAACACCTCCCCTTTCTCTCCTGTTCTGTTCGGGGGAGAACCATTCACTTTCAGCTGAACCCACGTTAAAACCAGCTCAAGCTCCAACTGTTCTGACCTAGACCTCAACTTGGGGGCCGGCATCTCCCTTCGCCTCCAGATATCACCACCACTTAAGTGCCCGGAAGTTTCTGGGCCTACCACACTGCCCAATCTCCCTCTTCTCCACCATGCAGCCTCTTCTCCTTCCTGAAGGGCCCTCTCGAGTCCCCTACCCTCCACCCCGACCGTAGTGCTCCCCTAGAGCAGCCAAGGCAGACGTTGAGAGCCAGGGCCACGTCCCCGTGTCAGGAATGGCATCTCCATGAAGGAGGGGCCCGAAGCCCTCATGGGCGGACCTCCCCTGAGCCTGTCTGAAGGGCCGGCCCTTAGTGCATTCAGGCTGAGGCCCCTGGGCAGGGATGCCACCCCTGCTTTTCTGGAGGACGTGCCCTTTCCCCTCACCCTGGTCCCTGGCATTAGACTCTTCCCTGTTTGCCCAGTAAAGGCCTTTCTGCAACAGCTGAGCCTACTGTGGTGCTTCCTCCTTGGGGCTGTCCTCACGGGGCTGGGTAGGGAGGGAGTTGGAGGGAGGAGAAAGGAAATGGAGGGAATGCTTTGGGCCCCTGCTGTTTGGTTTCTACCTAGACCCACTGTGCTTCTCTAACTTGGCATTTGGAGTTTACAAAAGCAGTTCCCATCCACACTCATTCCCTCCCGCAATTCTCCAGGAAGCTGGGGCTGAGACGAGGTAGTTCATGTCATGGGTGAGGAAACAGCCTCACAGAAGGGCCGGCCTTGCCCACTGCCTCCCAACATGTGAGGTCGCCTGACTCTCAGCCCAGACTTCTTCCATTGCCCCTGGGTGCCCCGCCCTCGGAGGGGCTCGGAATAGAGCCTAGGGGAAGTCTGCCAAGAGCCCTGGTGATAGTCTCAGACTAGGGGCGAATGGCGCACAGAAAGCAGGACTCTCATCGACTGCGGAGGGAACACTAGCCAGGCCATAAAAGAACACAAATCACAGAATACTGATCTTCAACTTGGATTTATGTCCAAGATTCGTGCAAACAGCTGGCCAGGGACAGCCAGCCACCTTGATCTGGGCCTCTGGCGCCCCAAGCCTTCCATGTGGGGCCGAGGGTCTGCCAGCCTCACGGTGGGCCCCTCGGCATGGGTGGCTGGCGTGGCCTTCATCCCAGGCTGCCACGGCGCTGGCAAGGCTACTGTGGGTGGAAGTGGAGGGCCCTGCGACAGAACACTTGTCTTCTGCTTCTGGGAGCAAACCCGTTCTTCTCGCAGCTCCTCGCGGGGGAAGGCTTGGGCATGGGGCAGGTCCTGCTACTACAGGGCTTGAAGCAAAAATTCAACACATATGTGAATTGAACATGTTCCACAGAGGGGCTGGGACCACTTCCGGGGAAGTTTTGAAAGGGAAGGGTCTCAGCTGTACCCCACTCTTGAGACTGAAGTCCCCCAGTGATTCCACAGAGCATGGCAGGTCAAAGTCGGGTGAGGCCTCTCTCCACTTGGTCCATGCTAGGCGGTGAGTTTCTCCTCATGGCTCCAAAGGATGGGCCAAATGGAAGCCTTCCGTGTGGAGGCTCTCCAGTCTGGAAACAGCTTAGGCTGGTCCGGGGCACAACCCAGGAGCCCCTCGGCCTCCCATCCAGCGAAGGCTCTGGCCACACAGGGAACACGGCCTCCAGTTTTTCAGCATCTGAGATCAGGTGACCCTGCAAGACGGGGTGGAGCCAAGTGACAGAATCTGGTCTCACTGAGGCCCCTCACGGTCATTTTTCGTAGACTCTAAATCAAGAAAAATATTGAGGACTTTAGAAACGATGGGGTACAGCAGGTTTCAAAGGCCTATGGGAACCAGCAAGTAACAGTGGAAATCCCAGAGATGAGGGCTTCCGAGCGTCAGGTCCTGGGCTAGGACGTTAGGTGTCGTTCAGGCCTTCCCTAGTCCTATGAAGCTGGCAGATTATTTTTCCTTTATGGAGGAGGGAATAAGGGCACAGAGAGATTTTTAAGTATTTGCCCAAAGTTCCAGATCTACCAGTGTTCGAGCTTAGCCCATTTGGCTCCAGATCCCAGAGTGGGAGCATATCTGGGGGAGGAGAGAGCCCTGCCCACTAGCCCCTTCTCCCCGCAGCATCCCAGGGGCTCCACACAACCTTCAGGGCTGTCAGGAACCAGGAGAAAACGGCCGACCAGCCCAATGCCTCCTGCCAACCACCAGCTCCTCCAAACCACACTGGCTCCCATCATCCCGCAGTGTCTGCTCGCACACCTTCCGTGAGGGGCCCTTGACCTCCCGGCAGAGCTGGCTCTAGCTCGGCAAAGCCACAACCCGCAGGAAACACCTCTTTGTGCTGAGAAGGACTCAGCTCCTCGCCCCCCACCCCCACTCCCAAGGCAAGGCAGTGCCCTCTGCCCTGCAGAGCCCCGCAGGAAGCAAAGGCAGTCACCGGGGCCCTGGAGTCCCCCTGTGACTAGCAAACCGACCTCCGGTCCCCAGCTGTTGCTGGCCGGCACTATGACCAGAGAGAGCTTTTCAAAATGCAGATCTGATCTGTCATGCCACTCTGCTTTAAACATTTCCGAGGATGGCCCATCATCTTTGGGATAAAGCCCCCGCCATGGTCTGCAGGTCCCCGTGGAGCCTGGACTCGCCTACCTCCCTGCTCTTGCCTCGCCCGGCTCTCCTTCCCCACCTCGTCCTCGGCTTCTCCAGTCTTCTCTGGCCTTCTCTCAACCCTCCAGCTGGCTTTCCTTCTTCCCTCCCTCCCACCAGGGCCTTTGTACGTGTCATTTCTCTGCAAGGACATCTTCTACTGTCCCTCAGGCACTGAGGGTCTCGACTCCAACATCGCTGCCCCCAGCCCAGGTCAGGCTCCTCTGCTATCTGCTCTCCTTCCTTCAGGGCACCTAAGTGCACACAAATGCCTGTCTGTGTGACTTCTGTGTGCGCCTTTTACTCATTTCTTCCTCCCGCACGAGGCAGTAAGCTCCTGGAGGGCAGGAACCATTGACTGCTTCTACCCACATGGCTTCCCCAGCACCCAGCAGAGCGCATGCCATTCAGACACCACGCGCTCGGAAGAAGGAATGAATGACTTTAACCCCCTCGCTCCGCGGTCACCTCCCCATCCTCTCCACCCTGTTTTGGAACTTGAGGCCTCTCCTGCATCAAGAGCAGAAGGTAGTGACCTCATCCCCAGACTGGGGCGTTCCTGGCAGGTAAGAAGTTATCCCCCGCAGGGGAAGGAGAGACCCGGGACAAGGCCACTCTCACCTGGCTCCACAGGCCTGGCTGGGGGTGGGTCCATCACTTGGGAGCTCTGGTTGCGCATCCCGCCACAGGGCGGCCGCCAGGTGTATTCTGGCTGCAACAGAAGTGGGGCTTAGTAGCCGATCACCACCCTCAAAAATCCCAGGAGCAGCTACCACTCCAGCAGAGCACTCAATACACGCTAATCCAGCACACCTGAATCCTTACAACTCAGGCTGCCATCCCCATTTTACAGGTAAAGAAACTGAGGCTCAGAGGGGTTAAGAAACTCGATGAAGGACATCTAGCCAAGAAGGTGGCCAAGCTTCGGTTCTAGGTCTCTACAACCCCCAAGCCAATCTCTTAAGCCCCGCCTCTGCTCCAGTGTAGACTGCCAAGAAGATGTGTGTAAGGACGGGGCAGAGCAGGAGACACTGGACGAGAGGGCCAGGAAGGAGGCACTGCCATTGTCCAGGTGGGAGCGGGGATGCCGAACCAGGACCGTGGCAGAAGGATGGAGAGGGTAGGACAGGTGGCAGCAGCTCTTTGGAGAAAGAATGAAAAGCAAAATAAAAGGAAAGAAAGAAGGGAGTGGAGGGGAGTGGAAGGGAAACTGGAAAGGGGAAAAGAGAAGGAAAGCAAAGGAGAAACTGCATAGTTGAGGGCCTGGTACCTGGTTACAAGTGCAGGTTCCACGAATAAGGCAAACCCAAACTCTGAGCCCCCGGCCTGCTTCCTGCCCTCCCTCTGAGCCTTTCCTGTTCTACACAGGAGACCCTGAGTAGCTTTGGGCTGGAGTCCTGCCTGGCTCTGGACTTCTGCCTGCACACCACAGTGCTGTTCAGCCAAGGGCTAAGAATGCAGTCTCAGATCCCCTCCCTTGACCTTGCCCTCTGCAAAGTGCACGGGTGGGCCTCTCGTGTTGTCCTGGAGTGAAGGGAGGGGGGACACAGACTCACCAGGTGGAAGAGGCGCGAGTTTGGGAGTGGGGGTGGGTGCTCCATGGCCATGGGGGGCGGGGGGTAGCGAATCTGGGACCAGTCCTCATAGCCATGGTGTGGCACCATGGCTGGCATGGGTGCGTAGGCGTAGGGGTAGGCCCCACACAGGTGCTCTGGGTGGGGCTCCATGTGGTAGTGCTCCGCCGAGGCCTGCAAGAAATGTTGATGTCTGGCTGTAGCCTGTGACAGGCCATCCCCAGTAATGCCCATCTCGCTGCCCTTTCTCTACTTGGTATCTTAGTTCTCTGAAAGCTGGTACAGGGACACAGGTGGCTGGGTACTGGGACACAGGTGGCTTGTACCGGGACACTGGTAGCTGGAACAGGGGCACAGGTGGCTGGTACAGGGACACAGGTGGCTGGGTACAAGGGCACGGGTGGCTGGGTACCGGGACACAGGAGGCTGGTACAGGGGCACAAAATATCCACCAATGAAGCTAATGTGTTCTGAGCGCCTACTCTGTGCCAAGTATTGTTCGAAGTGCTTGCCCTGCACTACCTCATTAATTAGTTGGGACACCTGAGAAGATACTGCCTCCCCCCTCAGACTATAGCTCCCTGAATAAGGTACGATAAGGTAAGTGCTGCTTCCTCCCTCAAACCTCCTCACCTTTGCTTTCCTCTTCTGCTGTTTGAGGGCTTCTTTTGTCTTCTCCTCATCTTTGAATGCTTTTAGCTGAGAGGAGAAGGGAGGGAGAGAAGACTGTTGGCCCAGGTGCTTCCTGGCCAGGCCTGCACTCAGGCCATAAGCAGCCCTGCGGGCTGATGGGCTTCGGCAGGGGGCCAGCACTCCTGGCGGCCCTCGTGGCCCAGCCCCGGGGAAGGAAAGCCCCCATGGAGCAGAGTACAGCTCCGGTTGGTGGCTGCAGGGGAGGCCTGCTCACTGTGCATGGTCTGAACAGAGGTCAGGAGGGTTCACACAAGCCTCCTATTGCCCTAGGTCCCTATTAACATCCTCCAGTTCACTTCTGAGAGAGAGTGGGGAACTTTAACCATGGAGGCGGGACTTGCAGAGGTAGGCAGAGCTGGAAGGGCCACGTGCATCCTGACCTCCAGTCTCACTAGGGCCCCGCCAAGCCGCACCCCCACCTCGTGAGGGCAGCCGGGTGCCCCTTCCCTGGTCAGCTGCTCTCACCTGGGCATTGGACAGGGTGACCTGTGCCTGTAGTCTCTCCACCTGCTTCTTCAGCTCTTCCTTCTCCTCATTCATGCGTTCTCGATCGCTGCGCTCCCTCTGGAAGTCCTCCT